CTTTGTAAATCAAAGCTTTATGATATCTATGCAATTTTTATTCTAGTTGATATTCTGTATCAGCATACATAGGCTATTTCAAAGTTTGGGTTGGATGGGAGAGTAATGGTGGTAGTTATAGCAGGAGACAGGGTATCAGGTTCTGTTCTTTTCCTGGTTCTGTTCCTTGCTCTAATTTGCAATGTGACCCTGAATAAATCATTATATCTCTCTGGGTTCCCCTCTTTTTATAGCACAGAATAGTTGAGAGGGTTAATTCATGTTTGGAAAGCAATTTAAGATCCTTTAGCTAAAATGCTGTAAAAGTGTAAAAGAAGAAAGAAAAGATGGGAATTGTCACAACCTGGCATGAGAGCACCGTTGTGATTTAGCATCAGGGCTGGCTCCAGCTTTTTTGCCACCTCAAGTGGGAAAAAAGAAAAGAAAAAAAAAGATAAAGCCGTGATCAGCGGTAGTTCGGCGGCAGCTCTACCGCGCCGCTTCATTCTTCGGCGGCAATTCGGCAGCGGGTCCTTCGCTCCGAGAGGGACTGAAGGACCTGCTGCCAAAGACCCGGACATGCCGCCCCTTTCCATTGGCCGCCCCATGCACCTGCTTCCTTTGCTGGTGCCTGGAGCCGGCCCTGTTTAGCATAACATAGAGACCTGGAGACATGAGTATTCAACGTGGTGAGGAAGGTAAGCATGATGCACCCAGACATCGTGGTGTGGAAAGTTCAGTAGATACTGTCACATTGTGCCATGGAAATGTGCCAGAATGTGCCAAAATTCTTGTTGTCTTGGTATTTCCATGCCATGCCATATCGATCTCTTTAGATATTTATATGATCTCATCACTGTAATATCTGAATGCCTCTGAAATATTACAAATAGAAATATCAATAACCATCTCTCTCTCCCTTCCTAGCCAGTAGGAGAAGTAGCTTGATTTGTTTTGCTTTATAATATTTTTTTTATTTGTTTACATGTATGTGAGTGACAAAATTATTGAGGGAGTGAGCTTTGCCTTTAGTTCTGAGGGTCATTCTTAGCTCTCATGGCTATGAGTTCCAGGTTCTTCCTGGCTTGTAACGCACGTACAAGAACACACTTGTTGACATTGAAAGGCAGCAAATTCATAACTGAGAAAAGGAAATACTTTAATTCAACTGTGGAACTCATTGCCATAGGATGATGTTGAGGCCAAGGATTTCGCAAGGTTCAGAGAGGGACTGAACATTGATATGGATCACAAGAATATCCAAAATTAGAATAGTTAATGCTAAAAAAGATATTTTCAGGTTTTAAACCTGTCTCTAACAATTAAGGGATTAGGATTAGACTTTCTTCAAGGGCAGATTATCCCACATCTGTTTACTAAGGAGTTTCTTGCATCTTCCTCTAAAGAATCCGGTGCTGGCCATGGTTGGAGACAGACTACTGCACTAGATGGACTAGGGGTCTGATCCAGTACGTATGAGAATTCCTATATTGTTCCAGAGAAATTTAACTGCTATGGGCGGTCATGGTTGCAAAGTAAGCGGGTATCTTCCAGGTAGCTTGAACCAATCCCAAAGAGGGTTTTGAGTATCATGATGGAGACTTTTCACTGTATCCTGTATTCAGTAGGGAGCCAATGCAGAGCGGAGAACAGTGGCATGAAGAGTGCACAGCAACTAGTGATATTGAACAAGACAGGCTGCTGCGTTTGGTACCAACTGGAGCTTTTTCAGGGTGTGTAGCTTCATTCCTACATATGACAAATTGCAGTAATTGAGATCAGGAGTGCATGGGGCTGGGTCTGAGCCCCATAGGAGCAGGTTCAGGGAGTCCAGCATCACACTCTAACTCAGTCCCCAGAATCATTCCGGATTTCAACAAGCTGCAGCCTCCTCAGAAACTACACCCCACGAGATAAGAACGTCCAACCCAGCCTCATTTTCTTTCCCCTGGGGGAAAAGGAGAAGAAAACCCCCTCTACAGCCCTGAGCCCTCTGGAACTCGGCCCCAATCGCAACTCAAGAAATGAACCACCCTGGTGAGTCCCCCCATGATCTGCGGGGTTAGGAAACCTCACCGAGCACCCAAACACCCCCAACACTCCCCCCCCACCACCACGCGGGCTTCCTTCCCAGGGAAGGGAAAATGAAACCCAACCCTCCCCTCAGGCCCTGACTGGCCAGGATTACACCCCAAGCCAGAGGAGCAAAACTGGATTTAACACAGACGGGCTCTCATCCCCGTCCCTTTCTGGCGCCCTGCCCTCCCCAGAGGCCCTGCACCCCCCTCCGTTGCCTGGGCCGTCCCTGCCCCCAGGGGCCTTGCCACCCCAGGGGCAGCAGGGGGCCAGGACCCTCTACCCCAAGGATGAAGGGAGAACCCACAGCCCCCTCATGCCCACCCGACCCCTCTCTGCCGTGCAAGCTCCCTCCCCCCCCCCCATCCACTAGGTCCCACAGGTGATGACAATGCTTAATTTGTAATGAAAGAGGTGCCAAGCAATTAGGTGCCAGGGCTCAAGTAATTTTTTTTACATTCATAACTGATGCAGAAAGCCAGAGGTGCCAGGGCTATGAACTGCCAAGACGAGAGAGGCCAGGGCTCAACCCTAGCACAAATTAAGCCCTGGGCGATGGGGCGCATGGAGTCTAACATGGCTCAGCCCCAGAGTACAGGGCACAGCGCAGGCCTCAGTTTCCCTGTGGCCTCCCTGAAATCC